AAATGTAATCCCTTATGAACTGACCTTTGGGAACATTCCTGATTCTCAGTGACAAAGAGTTGGAGGTACTCCCAGGTGCCATACTGCTGTGCAACAATTTTTGACACAGGCAATTCCTTTATAAGCATTTTAAAACTTAGCAGTTGGAAGGCCATTATCTCTGGTTGGGAGTTCTGTTCTTGCAAGCTGAGAAGGCTTATGTGCAGTTTGGAAACTTAGAGGGTAACACTTGGCACCTTGTTGAAGTTCCCCAGCAGGGAGGCTGGGCTGTAGCAGGAAGGGCTAAATTGCTTTTTGTACCTGAACAACCTGCTGCTGAGGGAAGTGAGGACACAGCAGGAGATGTCATAGCTAAGCTAATTTTTGTAATTTACCCTTTGGAAAAAGGATGTTCTTCTTACCCAATACATGCAGAATGACCCCTGTGTTCTGCTTTGGAGTGCCTTGATTCTGTAACTGATGCACTTTTCTGGGGTTTATGCCTTTCAAAAGAGATATGACGATCACAGAATGGGTTAGGTTAGAAGGGACCACAGTGGGTCGGTCATCTGGTCCAACCTCCCTGCTCAAGCAGGGTCATCCCAGAGCACACGGCATAGAACTGCATCCAGACAGTTCTGGACTACCTCCAGCGAGGGAGACTCCACAATCTCTCTGGGCAATGTTCCAATGTGGCTACTACACAGTAAAGAAGTTAAAGAAGTTCTTCCTCATGTTCAGGTGGAACTTCCTGTGCCTCAGTTTCTGCTCCATTGCCTCTTGTCCTATTGCTTGGCACCACTGAGCAGAGCCTGGCTTCACACTCTTGACACCCTCCCTTCCGATACTTATAGATATTGTAAATGAGAGGTCCCCTCTCATTTGTCTCTTCTTGAGGCTGAGCAGGAGATGGTCCAGTCTCTTAACTGCCTTTGTTGCCCTCCCCTGTACCTGCTCTAGGGGCTCCATGTCTCTCTTGTACTGGGGAGCCCAGAACTGGACACAGCACTCCAGCGGTGGTCTCACTAGGGCTGACTAGAGGGATAGGATCACTTCCTTTGACCTGCTGGCAATGCTGTTTCTAATTCACCCCAGAATACCATTGGCTTTCTTGGCCACATGGGCACACTGCTGGCTCATAGTCTGCTTGTTGTCCACCAGGACCCCCAGCTCTTTCTCTGCAGAGCTGCTTTCCAGCAACTCGTGCATGGAGTTACTCTTTCCCAGGTGCAGGACCCTGAACCTGCCCTTACTGAACTTTAGACAGTTCTCTGCCCACCTCTCTAACCTGTTGAGGTCTTTCTGAAGGGCTACAGAGCCCTCTGGAGTATTGACTGCTCCTCCTAATTAATGCTTCACAGTTACAAGCATTGAGGAAGGGTCAAGTACATTAGTCCATCCTGAGACATTCTTCTCTTCTGCTACACTTTAGGTAAAAGGGAAATGCACCACTGATCATATTTCTGCAGCTGGACCGTGGCTTAAATTCCGTGGCCATCTGGACAACATCTCCAACAACCTGCTCATTGGTGCCATCAACATCGAAAACGGCAAAGCCAACTCTGTGCGGAACGCGTTAACCCAGGAGTTTGGCCCAGTCCCAGACACAGCCCGTTACTACAAGGTGAGATGTTCCCCTGACACATCTATCTTAAGAGGATGTTTACAGTTTGGGCAGTCTGTGCCAAATACAAGGATTTCACCCTCCTGCTCTCAAGTAACAGCAGCTGCAAATTCATTCAGCATTGAGGCATTTTCTTGGTATTTTCTCTAATGATTGCAGTTCCTGTAGGAGATTCTTTCCCTACCTGCTATAGGGAAGAGGGACAAGATCTCCTGACTCAGAGGGGACCAGAAATCATACATGAAATAGGAAGAACTCCGTTAGGCTCTGCATACCTTACAAGGCATGGGTGTCATCAGACTAAATCTTGCTTCCTGGAGTGCTTCACCTGTGACTAGTCTAATGTTTAAATAATTATAGTCTCATTCCCTTTATTCTTGACCACAAGGCTTTAAATCTCAAGAAATGTCCTTTTGCCCTTGGACAACTTGGCAGTTGTTTCCGATTGGCTCTTTCAGTAGAGAGAAGTTAAAATTTTCCACATCCCTCCCAGAAGTAGAGCAGAGGTCATGGCTCATGCAAACACTGGTCTGGCATAGCATGATGGAAGGAGAGGTGGCAGGAAAAGGAAGGAAAAGATTTGCTCTGGATCCCAAAAGCAATCCTCCTTAGCCCTTGTCAGCAAAGATGGTAGTGCCTAACTACTGTGAAGCACTAAACTCCTTTATTTCTCTCCTTTCTCAGAACCCAAGGGAGTCTTTTGGTAGAAGGTGTCATACTATAGCAATGTCAGTAAAGTGCTGAACTTAGATGTGTGGGTGGGTATTTATTGTTAATTCCTCACTTGAGTGGCTGCACAAATGTAAATCTGTGTCTTTTGTCACAGAAAATGGGTATCAAATGGGCAGTTGTTGGGGATGAAAACTATGGTGAGGGATCAAGCCGGGAACATGCAGCATTGGAGCCACGTCACTTGGGAGGAAGGGTCATCATCACCAAGAGCTTTGCCAGGATCCATGGTGAGTCAGGCTTCCCCTGTGGTGTTTGTAAACAGGATGTGTTCAGGGATGTTTATACCTTGCCCAGGGCTCAACACCTACAGGCATGAACCTTCCCTGCTGACAGATGGTGAGGTCCCTCCTGTCAGGAGTCCTGTTACATACCTAGCTGGATATGCCACAAACAAACGGATATGCTGATTTTGCTACAAAGATAGTAATCAGCATAGTTGGAGTAGTACTCTGAGCAGCCAGAAGGTAATACTGCTTCCCTGGAGTGGGATGTTACAAGTGTGGTTGGTGGTTTGTTCTCCACAGAAACCAATCTGAAGAAGCAAGGTCTACTGCCTCTCACTTTTGCTGATCCAGCAGACTATAACAAGATTCATCCTGTGGATAAGCTGAGCATTGTGGGGTTGAAAGACTTCGCACCTGGAAAGGTAACTGTCTGGGTGTCTGGTCATGCACTTGAGGGCAGGGATGTGCCACTCATGGGGATTGGTGGTAGTTGTATGCTTGTGAGACAGCACTGGCACTGACGAGCAGTGCAGCTTGCTAGCCAGGTGAGACACAGCGGACTGGGAGACACAGGGCAGGTCAGAATCAGTGGTGTTCTGAACAGTTAAGAGAAACCTTCGTACAATACTCTGAATTCCTGGACTTGTTGACTTAAGCATGACTGTTCCCTAGAAGGAACTGTAACCTCACTTTTAAGATCCACCCTGAGCTGCAATTTTCCTTTTCAGCCCTTTAAAACCATGTAGAAATTTTCCCGTGAGAAGCTTCAGATAACCTTGTCCCTTGAAAGAGAAGGGAAAATAAAACTGTCTTCTTCTTTTAGCCTCTGAAATGCATCATCAAGCATCCCAATGGGAGCCAAGAAACAATCATGCTGAACCACACCTTCAATGAGTCGCAGATCGAGTGGTTTCAGGCTGGCAGTGCCCTGAACAGAATGAAGGAGCTGCAGCAGAAATCAAGCTAAGTGCACACAATGCCCCAGTGCACTGGACTCGATTCAGCTTTGGCATTTTCATGAAAGTGCAATTCCATGCCTACTCTTGGAATAAATGTCTGATCAAATGTAACCATAGCTTCCTTTTTGTTATGGTACTTCCTCTTCACTGACACTATGAAAAGGGAGTGCAGCTAGGCTTACTTTTGTCTTTTAAATTCCCCAGCTTCCTTTTTCTATTTTGGCTCGATTTCAGTTCTCACAGTTATTTATATTTGGAAATAACCAGCAAAGGTGGGTTTGTCTGCTCAGTTGGTTGTTTTCTGCCCATTCACTTTACTGATGGCTAAAGACTTAAAATTTAAATAAAGAATGTGACCATCTCTTCTGTCATGTATTATTGTATTCATCATCCTAATCCCTGTCATTTGTTGCTGGGAGGGTGGGAAAGAACTTCTTGTAAAACACTGCTATATGGAAAAAAAACCCAAATTGAATAGTAACTCAGTGTGGTAAAAATAAAGAGCCCTCACAGTTGTCCTGGACTGTTTTGCTCTTGACATTAATCTACTGCAGGCTATGCTTGTGAGTATGACTATATTCCCCCCTACATTCCTGTCTAGGGCACCACTGCCACTATTGCCAAGAATACCTGCTTATCTGATTTCCCAGCACTGCACACTTAGTTTCCTAAAGCATAGCTTAGAGCAGGAGATGGATGCTGAGTAGTCTCTCATGAGAACAGCACACAAAACCACGCTGCCATCACTTCACTATACTCCTTGGAGCCCTGAACTTGTCCAAAAGGAGCTGAGCAAAACAATTACCTGGAGTAGTTAAACTGTTTTCTTCCCCTTGCCCTGGCACTATCCCAGAACAGCCTGTGTGGAAGCTCCTTGCGTGTTTCACCCAAATTTCCACATATACAAACATCTGGGAGGTTTCTGCAAACAGTTGTTTCCATCACAGCTAGATGGTTGCATGTGTGAGCACTGCTGCTCTGTAGGTGGCATTCAGTAAGCTTATTGTGGGCACAGATGGACCTCAGTTACTATGTGAACCCAAAGAATTCTAGGCTCCCTTTTAATTAGGGCATTGCACCAGGAATAACAGTTGAGAATTAAGGGGTTCTTAACGATGCTGCAGGGAGGGCGCTGATGACTCAGGCTTTGTTTTCACAGTTGGAGGTTAAGCAGACCCACTATCCCAGGGAATTACAGCTCCTTCCTGCCAAACGTGGCTGGCTTTGTAATTATGTGCAACATCACTCTCTTGGCAATGGGCCCTGCATAGATTTTACTCACTGTTTTGTTCCCTCCTTTCCTTGTACTGCTGTCAGGGAGGGTGATGGCAATTGTTTATCATTGGCTGTTAGCATAGAGCAAAGCGTTGGTCTGAACTCTGCCTTGAAATCCAAGTAGCTAAACTGCAGGAGGCAAGTGTTTTCTTCCTGCTAGGCAGGAAGCTAATAGTTTCCCCACAAATTGTACAGGAAGGCAGGCTGTGTGGTTTATACTATTTATTCCACTTACAGTATTAAAACCCCCACAAACAAGGATTTAGCTTGCTCAAAGCAGCCTTCATCCATTTCAGTCCATAATTTCATATTTTCAGTCAAACTCCTGCAAAGTTCAGCTCATTCTGCATAAATACAGCCCACCCAAAAAAGTAATTCCATTCAACACAATAAACAGCCTGTAGTTTTCTATACTGGTCATCTTCGCTAAGCCTGAGTTACTTTTGGGTAAACTGTCATTCCTGTTCCTTCTGGCTAACTTCATCCATGGGTGAAGTTCCCAAACTTAGCAGAACATCACCACCACCTCCCCTGCTCTCTCAGCAGCAGCATTTTCCAGGTCTCAGAGTACCACACCTCTACTAACTCAAGTCTTTTGCTGTTTCTTCTTCATCTTCTGTCAAAAGAAGGGCAGGTTTCTGCTCTGAGATCAAGCTCCCAGCCTAAGAGTGGTACTTCTCAATAGGTATTCTCTACTGCCTTTACTCACTAAAGTCAACTCTTTCCTTGATTCAGGCAAGCCAAGAGCTCCAGAATTTTCCCTCCAGGGCAGGAGACCAGAGCTCCAGCTGAGTTTGTAGCTGCTGTGCTCAAGGCTTTTTGTGCCTGTAAATTCACTTCTGCACTTCAGTGAAGATGTTTCTTGAAAGCAACTGTCTCTTTCTGGCAGCTTGGAAGCTTAAGGGAAAACAGAATGGCAGATCTAATTTCTTACTCAGTTTCAGAAGAGCAATGAGCACCAGCAGGGTCCCATTATCCCCCAAACACCCTTTGGAAAGACTTTCTGTGGAGCAGGCTCTGATCGCAGCTAACTGTTTGTCCACCATGACAGGAGTCCCAGGCCTGGCTCGCTGATTGATCCCTGTTCATAGAGAGAAGATGAGAGCATGCAATTGTAAACTGCATAGAGAATAGAGGAAAATGCCAAAAAAATACATCATCTTTCCCACCTAAGTTACACAACACAGCTGCCATTGGTTCAGATCCACCTTTCTCATGCATTGTACTCAGGTTTTATGCCAGAACACTGCAAGGAAAGACTGTTCAGTTGCTACATAGACCTTTGATGTGTTGCTCCCAGCTCTGCAGTGTTCATGCACGTGCAGTTTGCTTTAAATCAGCCTCCCGGGGGGAACCACCAACAACCATGAAGTGTTCCAGGGAAAAAACTCAGAAAACAGAGCAACCACAAGAACAACCTAATTTCTCCCCTTTTCCACTCCTTTCATTTTGTGACACTGATTCATGGTCAGCTTAAAGCAATCAGTTCCTTGGGAAAGGGGTGCTATTTTAGACACTGAATAAACCACAACACTCACAATGCCATAAGAACTAATGCACATAGTTACCACAAGAGTGTAGGGTGCCTCCTTCTTCTGGACCTCTTCTGCAGCATTTGAAGTGGAAGCCTCTGCAGAGCTTGGACCGGTTGGTGACGTATCAACAAACGTCTCATCCACGACTCGGAAGCGGATCTCTTCCCCAATGTCCATGTAAAGGTCATGGGCCCCTTCTTCTGTCTCATATTCCCACACCCACACCTGCTCTGCTTCATCACTGGCCAAGAATTAAGGAGGGAAACAGCATTCTGCTTCACTGATCACTTTCTGGCAGTTCTAAGAATAGACTCGATTCAAAGCCTTTTCGCAGTTATTTTCTAAACCGCAATGTGCTGTCCCAGGTCACTGTCTGTACAGCCCAGGACCCCCATTCTTACTAGATTTTTTCCCCCCAGAAAAATGCAGCAGAAGAAAAGATCCCCAGACAAGCAAAACTCCTCAGACCCAAGACGACCTCGCCTACCACACTAAAATATACCAGACGCACACGTATGTAGACATTACATGATGTGGTAAAACCTGCACTCTATCTTCAGCAGCAGCCAAGACTGGAGGCAGGGATTACAGCTGGGCAGGGGACACTGCCATTCATTACTATCAGCAGGCACAATGATCCTGCAAAACCTAATGAGCGTGAGGGCCTGTCTAGCTGTGATAACAGTCTGTGGGACTTGCCCGACAGAAGGGCTTAGCTTCTGCCGCTGAGCACCTTCATTGTTGCAGTGGTGAATGCCTGTTGGGCCAGCACTGCACAATCTTTTGAAATGAAGTAGTGAAGTTATCAAAGGTGATCAAAGGATACAACTTAGCTGGCTGCTGCAGGGATTCTGGTGGGATGACAATATCATCAAAGAATCCAAGAGAAACTGCAGAGAAAAGAATTTGGTTAAGACTGAAACAATTCTTTGCAAATGATGTTCGACAGTGATTCCTAAAATGCATTTCTAGGCTCGTTCTCCTTCCTCTCTCAGGAAGGACATTGAGATTATGCAGGAATTACTCTTTGAGCCACAATGCTCAATTTCAGTTGGCAGCAAAGCAACTATCCAGCTGAAAGTACATACAGCAACAGAGGGCACAGTCTTCGTGCCCACTGGGAAAGGAAAAGGTTGTTTGGAGCAGGAATGGAAATGAAAGCGTTCCAAGAAATGAGTCAGATGCTATAGAGGTCTGTGACAAAAAAGAGCTTAGAAATCACAGATGTAGTATGTTAAATAAAGACTGATACAAAGTTAAAACAGCTCCTACATCCACCTTAAGATTTCATGATGTTGAATTTTATCAGGGAATGGACCATGCCCAAATTCAGCAACAGAAGCAGCCAAGGTAACTGTATTGTCCTAATTTAACAACTGAGCAGCAGAGCTCCCTGCATGGAAGACTCCTAGAGGAAAGGAAAGCAACTAATCAATTATATATTCCATAACTCCGGCTGCACTTTATGCTCACAAAGACATTTCCCTGACATGTTTTTAGGTACAGGAAATGAACACAAATTCGCACAGCACTATAGGGAAAATACGTCAGACCAACACAAGCCAACAGTTCCACTTTGAAAAAAACATTCTGTTAAATTCTGTTAACTGAAGCAAGAAAATTAATCCAGTCTACGCTCCAGATGGGTTTGCCTGTTATTCTTGGGCAAAAGGAAAAGGGAGTGCGGACAAAACCATCAAGGTCAGGGGAAGCTGGCAGGCTCAAACTACCAGTCACCCTCAGATCACAGCAGCACTAGATGCCAGTAATAGCCATTAACCAGCCCACAGAGATCATTACTCCAGCCAAAATCAGTGTCTCAACAGACCCAAGAACTCTGCAGCTCATGTGTCCCTAATGTCAGAAGGTGCAGTTTACCGTGGACGCCATCCTGACTGCAGCTTTTAATCTGTCCAATCAGAATCTCATCCAGGAAGGGATGGAAGACCACATAGCGGAAATGCACTTAAAAGAAAACAGATCATTAATATTATGCCCATGTTAGTAAACTATAGTCCTCCCACAGGGTAGCAGCCATTAAAACAAAATCCCACATCCTATGTACCCTCTAAAACACCCAGTTTCTTTTACAACTTCTTTAGAGGCACTGATTAGATAGAAAAATGGGAATAAGAGATCTGGTTCCTAACTGGTTTGTACATACTCTGGCAGCAGCTGGATCAGCAGTGTCCTGCTCCCAGCTCCTCAGTTTTGCAAGAATTTCACAGAAAGAAAGTGTAAGACAATAAACATGGAGCATGGCTTCTGATTAAATTATGATGGAAGCATAATGCCTCACGGTCAAGAGTATCAGCTGAAATTATACTTTCTTGTAATACTTCTGCCTTTTATATTTGTCTGCAATGCTGTATTTCCATTAAATTAAATCTTTTAAATGAAGTATTATCAGATTAAACAAGGTTCTCTAACATAACTGGATTTTTCCTGCAAGCTAGATAAAATGTTTCTAACTAAGCCCATGGCACTTATTACAAGAATGCTAAACTAAGACAATCGCAGCCAAACGATGCTTCTGAGAAATTTAACATAATTTTAGCTGTACCTCTGCAGTGACCCTCTTTTACATAAAACTAGGCAGTGCATTAAAGAAAGAGTTATTACCAGACACAGTGGGATTTATGAAAGTACTACACCAGATTCTGAAAGCAGACTTTTTTCCCAAACTCAGATAGAAAAGTTCTCTTCTTTCAGTTCAAGGAGTAATTCTAAGTTGAGAAGCTGAATGGAGATTAAAGCAAGCAGGAAAGCCTAACATCCTCCTTCAGTATTAGAAAAGCTTTTATTTTTAGGAAATGAGTTTTACTCCCCTTAGACAAGGAGAAGCACATATAGTCAGTGCAGTTCCCTTCTAACAGGAGATATTTCATGTGTTCAACCTATGATTTCACACTGTAAACTGAAACCAGAAAAATGCATCTCTTACCAGTTTAAACCTTTATTTTAACTTTAAAAAATGAAATTTGCTTTTATGCAATTACTTCCAGTTTTCACTCAGATTTGCCAAGAGTCAAAGTAAAGAAATGAGTCATTTCTTATTAAAAGAAGTCACTAGAAACGTATGATGAACCAGATCTAAGTTTCAACAAAAGTGTCGTAAAACTCCCAGCTAGTACAAAAGCATTAAATGCTGTGCAAATGCTACATGTAGAAACAGGTTTCTTATCCTAGCTAGGGAATATGCTTCATAAAGAAAAAATATCAGAGAAATGCAGACCAATTATTACAACTTATTTTCTATGTGCAGACTTTCAACCTTCAATTAAATTAACCCTCTTCCTACCCCACACCTATGGCTCTAATTGTAGAACAGAGATGGGCTGCTGGAGAAGGCAAGAAGGACTGGCTATTTAAAGCTGTATTTGTACCCAAAGCGGCAAAGAAAATAAGAGACTTTCACCATGTTCCTCTTGCCCTCATAACAGGAACAGACTTAAGGCTGTGAACTTAAGGTTGTCACTGTCTCTAACAACTGAACTCAGCTTACATTTCCAGATCATTAATTAACCTTCTGCAACACAATGTAACTGAGGAAAAGCACTTACCCTTGGTATGTGATGCACCATCCCCAGGAAATATGTATGAATCTTCCAGCTTTGTGATATCATACAGACAGATGCAGAGCCCAACATTGTATACAACCTGATAAAAGAAAAAAAAAAAAAATCAAGAGCAGTAAATCAAGCAACCCACCAGGTAAAATCAAGCAAACTATGGAATTCATACATTATGCACACCTTTTCAAAGGGCAGCAATAGAGGGGTGGAGGTTGTTTTGGAACACTGCCTTCAACACCACCAGCAGCGTAGGGAAACCCCAATCCAAGTGTTGTGGGAACATATTTTCACTGGCACTGGAAAAAACGCTGCTACAAAGAGAAACCTTTGGGGAAATTGTCAGTGGTGAGAGAACCTGAGCTGCCAAGACAGTAAAGAGCTCCCCATCATTCACCAGCCCCACAACTTGTCCAAATGCTAAACATGCTTTTTGTCAGAGTTGCACTCTCAGAAGCCTCCAGGCTTGCCTTTTATCTTCGTATCAGCTCTGGGGAGACACAGGGCAAACTCTTGGTTTCTCTGCTACTTCTGAGACAGCTTCACTGTCTATGAAATTTGAGGCATCCACCAGTCATCAGTGGATGAAGGAAGTCTTTTGCTTTTCATAACCTGCCTTTCATAATCTGCTATTTACAACCCTAGAGCCCTTCAGCTTGCTCTTTTGAGCTCCTTTCACGTTTACAGATGCATTTTTTAGTTTTGCACCTGCCACATGTTGAAAGCCGTACACTAATCACAGTCCTGGGGCTGCACAGGGAAACTCTGACCTCTTAGGGCCACAAGAAAACACTTTTTATATGCTGCACTAAAGACAACTTCTTACTGCCATCATGTATTTCAATTAATAAGCGCAGGCCGAACCAGCTATTAACAGCATCATTTCTCTTCCAGTATTAGTGTTCGGCATGTGTTTATATAGGTTTTTTTCTTTAAATTCCTCACTGAATGGATTAGTTTGCATGTTTTTCAGGCTGCCTTTTGGATTGCTTCTTTTAACACAAACCAGCAGCTGGTCTCACTTCTCTTCCATGCTCCTCTGCCCCATCTGGTGTCTCAGTATCTTCCTATTACAACATCAGCCATTAGAAAAATGTCCCCTTTGAGATGATACGTGGCTGTCTCCTTATTTACAGTCGCTGGGGATGGCCTTCACATCCAAACCACTCTGACACCTCACCCGCGCACCTCAGTAGGCACAAAGACAAGGAAGGAACGCTCGGGGACGTTGCGATGCCTATATCAACCTATACGTGACCCATGTTTTACCTTATTGGCCAATTTCTTGTTTAGCTCTTCAGCAATAGATTCGTTCAGTTTCCTTTCAAACTGCCAGGGAGGAATTCTTACAGTGTCAGTCATCTCCACCAGGACAAACATGGTGGCGGGGGTCGAGGAGAAGCCAACAGCCTCGGGAACTGGAGCGCTGCGAGGAGCGGGCTGGGAAGGGGAAGGCGCTCCAAGGTGCGGCACGGAGCGCGATGGGGCGGGGTCCCGGCCGTCCCGAAGGAACGGGGCCGCTCGGGTGGGGCGGGGTCCCGGTCCCGGCCGTCCCGAAGGGAACGGGGCCGCTCGGGTGGGACGGGGTCCCGGTCCCGGCCGTCCCGAAGGGAACGGGGCCGCTCGGGTGGGGCGGGGTCCCGGTCCCGGCCGTCCCGAAGGGAACGGGGCCACTCGGGTGGGGCGGGTCCCGGTCCCGGCCGTCCCGAAGGGAACGGGGCCGCTCGGGTGGGGCGGGTCCCGGTCCCGGCCGTCCCGAAGGGAAGGGGTCGGGAGCTGCCCTCACCGCCGCCGCACGCGGAGCCGCGCCGCGCGCCTCCGCCCCTGCCACTTCCGGCACCGCCACAGCCAATCGCGCTGGGCTAGCGGGTCGCGCGCCCTGATTGACACCCCGCAGCCGCCATTTTGTCCCTCCTCAGACGGGGCGGGGCTGTCGCCGGAGCGGGGCAGGATACGGGGAGCCCCGGGGTGGGGCCGGTTTTGGCCAATATAAACGCGGAAAGGGGCTTCGGCACCCTGGCGTCCTTTGTAGGGATGCTGTGTAGTTCTCTCGTCCACCTCCGGCAGATGGGTCCCTGGGCGCGTTCTCCCGTGCCACAGCTAGAACAATTCTCGACTGCGGCTATTCTGGTTTAATTTATCATTTTCATAACCTTCAATCCAGATAAGGCAGCAAAGATCACAAAAGCACGGAACAACTCAGATAGGAAGGGGCCACGGTGGGGCATCTGGTCCAACCTCCCTGCTCAAGCAGGGTTTATAAATAACACAGAGAATAGAAATTTTCAGAGACAGTCTTCTATGTGCCCTGTGCAAATAAAGAATGCCTGCTTTCTAATGCTTCAGATTGTGTTAGAAAGTGTTTTCCAGACATTTTGATATGGTGTTCATCCCAAAGTACATGGCACAGGAATGGCATCCAGAGGGTTCTTGCGCTCCCTCTACAGTGAGGGAGACTCCACAGCCTCTCTGGGCAATCTGTTCCAGCGCCCGGGCACCTGCACGGTGAAATTGTTCTGCACGGCCAGGTGGAACTCCCTGTGCACCAGTTTCTGCCCCATTCCTTGCTGTGCTATTGCTTGGCACCACCAGGAAGAGTCCGGCTCCAAACTCTTGGCACTCTTCATGGACATACACATTGATGAGGTTCCCTCTCAGTCTTCCCAAGCCTGAACAGGCCCAGCTCCCTCAGCCTTTCCTCAGAAGAGAAGATCTCCAGTCCCCTGATTATCCTTGTTACCCTCTGCTGGACCTGCTGCAGGAGCTCCATGTCTGTCTTGCACTCAGGAGCCCAAAGATGAAAGTTTGCCATTTCTTCAGCTGTTTGCCCACATCTCCAGCAAACCTGGGTGGGTTTATAATTCTTTGCAGCTGGAAGTCCCTCACAGCTCTGTCTGCCCAATTCTTAGGTCAAGGTTCTTTCCAGGGACGAACTGCCACCATACAGAGCTGGCATAATTTGTGACTGTTAATTGCCAAAGAGAAACCAACCCCCATGGTATAATTTTTGAGGCCTCGGTGTGTTCTGCAGTGAGGGAGAAGCAGCATGAGGGATGGCAGAAAACAAGGGGGGGTGCGCTAACGTCTAAGGTTTGTCAGGGAAAGTGAAATGAGGTTGTTTGAAGTGTGCTTAAAAAAAGATCCGCCAGGAAAACCAAACATCCCTGGCTGACAGTGAAAACTGCACTGTCAGCATCATGGCTTTGATGCTAAGGCTAAGTGTGTCATCCCCCACGCTCCCCAGCAGCGTGTGGTGGGACAGTAACGAGAGCACTTTAGGTAAGAAATCATTAAACGTTGGGCTGTCTGGGAAAGGGAGGGGGAAACAAGGTTGGAAATACCCTAGTTAGGCCTCGTTAAGAAGGTACCTGTCTTGGATAAGGAGGTGTTGATTTCTTCTTAATAACTCTGTTTCATCAGGGTCTATTAGGTTGTGGGGATGTTGGTTTTTTTTTAAATAAACGTGGCTGGTCTGCCCACGTTTGGCATGTTAGTATTAAATAGTGGGTCCAGAAATAAGATTTCCGCTGTCTCCTGGGAAAAGCAGCATTTTTCTTGGAGCAACATCTACTGTCTCAGCAAGGAGCTCTGCTGCCAGCACAGCAGACACCACTCTATCAGAACACCTCAACCCAAATCCCCAGTGTTTCTTGCTTTTCTTGTCCTACTTCAGGGAGCCTTACAAAGGCTCCTTTCTCCCACACTGCAGTCACGGCTGCACTAATCTCGGCACAGCACAGTTTTGCTGGCACGTATGCTGCATCCCTTGCTGTTCTGTCCTGGCCTCATGCAGGTCTGGCAATGCAAGGTTTCACCTTTACCTAGTGCAGCTTTTGCAGGTGTCTATAGCTACTTCACTCAGAAGAGGAAATTGTTCTCAACCCTGTCCTGACAGCAGGGGAAGAAATAGCTTTGGTATCACACAAAGAGACAGAACTTAGGCACTGCTGGTTTTGGCAAGGTGATCACTCTGGATGCTTGTATATAAGAACTGTAGGGTTAAGTAGGGGCATGAGCTCAGGGACTAGTAGACTGAAATACCTGGGGGAACATGGGAGATGGAGAGAAGTGGATTTAGACAGAGTCATATCATGCTTCCATTTCTAGCCCATTCTTGAGCTAATATTTTTCATGCTTCCAATAACCATGCCCCACTGGGGGCTTTTGGGTGCCCAATACAAAGCAGTCACATCTCCTTTCAGCCTTATCCACAGCCCCTAAAAAACAACTGTGTGAGCAGCAGGTCTGCAAGGCCTTGCTTCATACTGTCTTGGGTCCCATGAGTGAGGTCTTTCGTATGCTATGAAGTGCTGACACCAAGCAAGATGTGCAGGATCTCTCTCCTGTATCAGTTCTGTGATTGCCAACAGGGACTGAATGCTGTGGGCCACTACTCAGTGAGGACAATAACATTCCTCTTCTCTGTGCAGCTGTGTGTTTTGCTGAAACTTGCAGGTACTTTGATTTCATGCTGAGGAAACTGAATTGTGTGCAGAGAAAGCTGGTGATGGCAGTGTCAGATAAGCTTCACTGCCTCTGCTACCAGGCTACAATCACCCCAGAGCCAAGTCTGGATGTCAGTGTTTCAGCCTCCACAGGAACATCCCAGGCTGTGGGAAATGATTTCCAGTCTCACTTTCTTCAGGTAGCCCCTCCCCAATCCCAAGTAGTGCATGCCTGGGCTGTCTATGCATGACAGATGTTGCTCTGTTCCCACCTAGGTTTTCTCCTTGGAGGATTTCCGTATTTCACAAGTGCTGTCTTCAATGTAGAAATATAAACAAAAGCCAAATTATGCTCTGTAAAATATGGGTGTTGCCTCAGCTAATGGTAGTGCTCAGAGTTATACTATATTTATGGCTGCTGCTGAAGTGTCTTGCTGTTGGAGATGATGTGAACAGCTTTGTTTTGCTGACTTGTCTCCTCCCAGTACTGCTGACATGGTGAATACCCAGAAATCCACAGAGCCTGTACATACCTTTTTACACATAGCCATAAAGTCTCTAGACTCTCTTTCAACAGTATTGGGGTTTTTCCAGTATTTCAGAGCATAGTTCTCAGTTGCTGGGTTGTTTTTTTTTTTTTAAGCTTTAGCTGCTGGAATCCAGGAGTTGACGAAGAGTTTTTCTGTCCCTCAGAGAAAATACCAGACATTTCTCATTCTCTTCATTGAACAGGAAAACTGGAAAATAATATTTGAAGTTACCTGGAGGGTTGGAACCTTTGAGGAAAATGAAAGAAGCCCCCGAATTACTTGGTTTAAGATCTCCTCTGTCCCCATATGCCCATGACTCTTGGAGAAAGATGGCCCAGGGATGGTAGGGGAGGTGAGTGGTAATTTGCATCTCAACAGTTCTAGCCCTCCTTTGATTGACTCCAAAGGAATTATGTATCTTCTCACATAAAAAGTCCTCCTCACTCCTGCCTTTGTTTCCATCTCCGCAGGCATCTCTGGCACCCCCACTCCCACTCTCTGTTTGATCAAAGCTTCCCCTCTTCTCCTTTTATCATTTTTAAAGCATGCCTGCTTTAGACTCTGCCTCCTCTGCTGCAGCACATGCCCAGAGTCACCTTCCAGCCAAATGTACTTCAAGTTCCTGTGCATTTTCCATCAGCAGCCTTTATGTGGTAGAGCCAAGGTTGTCCCTCCAGAAAGGAGAAGCCATCTCAGGAGAAACTCAGAGGGGAAACTGAGAGGTGGCTGGGGCCTCCTCCCCTTGTTTTGCAAAGTTCTGAAGAGTAGAATGGAGAGATAAGACTTGTGGTGTCTGTAGGACATGAATGTGGCTCCTGTTCTGTCCTGGAAAACTACTTGAAAAGCCACAAACAGAGTGTGATGGACAATGGCAGAACCCACTGGCACTTGCAGTTTCAGTGCTTTTTGGTGGCCTTGCTATAGGTTGTTCTCTTCTGCCCATGGAGCTTTTTTCTGCATTGTAATTTATTGACGGGAGAGAGACAAGTGCTTTGTGATCTCATCACTCTGTCAAAGCCCTTGCGACAGCCCCATATCAACACTCAGGACTGGCATGGATGGAGGGATGGAGGGATGGAGGGATGGAGGGATGCATGGATATAACCAGGTGGAGCAGTTGTAACCCTCTTTCCTGACTCTCTGCCATGCCTCATGGTTCCCACACAACTTGTGCACCACCCTGCAGCCCTGGGGGTTGTTTCTGGAACAGGTCTATTTGGCATCACCATATTCAGCTACTTAGAATGTATCAAGGAAAGAGTTTAAGGAAACAAAAGCAACCTTGGGCCACCCCATGTCACAGGATGCCCATGACAGCTCCCTGCAGCACTGACACTGCACCATGGTTGTTCAGGGTTGTTGTAAATTTTATTCCAGCATTACAGGGATTTGCTTGGTAAAGTGCTGATATTGACTACCTTTCTTCTCCAAAATGAGGCTGATATCATCTAAATCCCCCTTGAGTTATGCCTAACCAGTCTGTTCTTACCAGCCTCCAGTGATGGAGACCCTGATGCTTGGCTGGGCAATCTACTTGAGTAATTAACTGTCTGTTCTGTTAGAAAGTGTTTCCTAATGTCTAACATCAATCTTACTCTTTGTAATTTAAACCCCATTACTCCTCTGCCTATTCCCCAATGGAATCAGCAAACGATTCTGCCCTCATCCGACTGCCCTACACCCCGACTGAGAAAGTCTCAGGCCAATTTAGAGCATGGCCTCTGCCCGCAGAGGTGGCTCCCCTGAGCACAGCCACACAAGCACAGCGGAAAACAGAAAGAAAAGATCTTTTGGCACAGTGCACTGACAGAAATGAGACCCGTAGAAAGCACACGGGTTTGT